TAATTTTTATCATGGAAAGTGGTTAAAACCGAGTCAACCATCCTGCTCTCTTTCAGTAGTCTGCATCTGTGTGATATGGATGGTTGTGAATGTGAGGCAGGTTATTTGCCTGACAGGAAACAGGGGAAGTATGTAAACCTCAAACAGGGAATCTGCTCACCAGATAATTTTCCTAACCAGTAGACCATAGAGGCCCCCTTATGCGTTACGCCAACCTGTGGCTAGAAGTCAGGAGAGGCAGAGGTCACGGAAATTCACACACGCCTTGCCTCAGACTTGCCTCAGTTTAAAAGTCGACAAATGAACTCTTGGAATGCCCGAGATTTTTAGTGGTACTTAGCTGCTTGGCTACAAACACAATAACACTGTAGATGCTGAATACATTCTCTAAGTGAGCAATCAGTTGCAAAGTGGGCTGAAAATTGCACTTATCTTCACCATGATGATATGCATAGAGAAATAAATCAGAAGATGGAGCTGAGGGGCGAGAGGGGACAGTGGTATCACTGGATGTGTCCTATGTTAAAAAGCAACATGATTTGATGTCTAAACTCCTCAGGAAAAAAGAAAGAGCCAAAACCATCCTACTACGATTTTTTTTTCTCAAAGAGATTTCTGTGAAATGATTGCTAATCTATGCAAAAAAGCAATCAGTGACTCATTCATAATGCATGAGCAACGAGATACCAATTTTGCCACGGCTTTCAGATTATTAGATGTTATCACCAATGCAGCAGATGAAATATGAACACTCCTACCTGTTTCTTTGTAATTATAGGACTGCAGCAGTCCAGACATGCTGTACGCTGCACAGGAGGGGGAGCAAAATGTGAAGAAGCATATAGACAGACAGACCATCAGATTGAACATCCATTACTATCCAACTACAGATAGCTCTGGATGGGAATATTTGTTTCTAACAGCTTTATGCATCCATTTGGGACGTGATTTATCAACCTAAAAGCCGCAGTTTTAAGTACATCTGGCTGACATTTTAATGGTCCATCAATCACATTATGTCACGTGACAACGTTTTGAGATCCTCCTCTTCTGAGCCGCATGTGAGGATGGGGGCAGGGGGCGAATCCGATAAATTGGCTGCAATCCCAGGGAAATTCTGAGAACCTATTTCAAATTCAAAGTGAGTTCATAGTATGAATGTTAGATAAGCTGCTTCTCAAATTAATGCAAATCAAATTTCATTGAGGATGTTTTTGTTTTGCATTATAGACGCACATATGCTAAATATATTCCTGTGCCAGTATCTGAGCTTCAGCTAAAATCCCCCAAAATAAAAAAAGGCAAATCCTGTTTGGATTATTATTATTTGTTTATTTTCATTTCTGTTACGACAGAACTGTGTCTCATGGTAGGGTTGCTAGTAAAGCTAAATTTACAATATTTTCAAGATTAAATCCTAAACTACAATTTATGTGAAAATGCTAAACACCACCTGTTAAAATTTGTGGCATCTCTTGTAAAGATGACTAAAAGAGATATTAAAATAATTTATTTTATTGCAATCATATAATCTTGTTGTCTTTTTAATCCACTGTCATTGTGCATTTCAACAAGATCCAAATGTTATGACCCCACAGAGAAATATTTTATCAAATACAAAATCCGTCTTCTATGGCCTGCTCAATCTCAGAGGCGAGTTGAAGAAAAGAAAGTAAAAGAAAGGATCCAGTACTCTGAATCTCTGTGATCTAGCAAGACTGTGCAGAGGAATGATCCAGTATTAAGAAAAATTACAGGAAATTGCTTCTATTAATAAATGGAGAGGATTAGCAGTGGTGGCAGTGACAGTTGCAGCAATAAATTTCTGAGATTTGCTTTTCCACTGAATAGATGTACTTATGTCAAACGTTGGATTTTAGAAAGAAAAAAAAAGAGTTTATTCTACTTTAACAAAAGAACATTTTTTGCATAAAGATTTAGTAAACATCTTTAGTGTCTGCTGGTCTCTATTAGCCCAATAAACCTGTACTTAACAAGTTTAAAGGTTTGTTCAACTCAGCTTTCAGCAGCTCCCACTGACACAGAGACTGGCAGACTGTAGCAAAGCCTTTATTCCTCTTTGTTTTATTTGAACAGAAAAAAAAAATCCACACATCTGACTTTTAAAACTTGAGTGTTAATGTGTCTGAATCGCACCTGGAAGCCTTGTGAAAGGCACTGGCAGATCTCATGCTTTTACATTCGGGGAAAGTCTGACACAAGGGATTTGCTCTTAAACGGAGCACAGAGAGGATGAAGGGTGGTATAAAAATCAATGGGGCTTTTCAAAGGTAACATGAAAACCCAGCGCCTTAGACTGCAATTAAAAAACATACTACTGCTGGTGCTGGAGAGATGACGGAGTGTGTTGCACAAGCCCTCAACTCCGTGGGATCAATTCCAGGATCAATACTCAGACATGATACAATTCCATAATGGAAACAGGGACATAGAGAGGAGGTGTCGTGTGTTTTCAGATATTTACAATTGGGCAGCTCTGTCTGTTTCTGAAGGATAACAGAAACCCAGCTCTAGACATAACAGATCCTCCAGGTTGAAACCTCACTTTAAATGTTTTGGCTACATTTAGGACTGCTGAAACAGAGCAGGGGCGCCATGGACCCACAGAGTCCTGCAAGATAAAGTTGAGACATGACAAGGATGGGAAAGATTAAATAAAGTTTTAAAATCAAAACTTTGATATTTTTGTTATCTGATCAGCTGATATGCTACTGAATTTTGGCTGCAGCTTAAAAGAAATCTAGCAGGAAATGATGAAATGACATAAATGTCCAGAGAAGACATTTGCGTAGCTCTGGTCAGTGTGGAAATGGAGTTCAGCCCATAAATGAGATCCCACAAAACCCCCAAGTTCTGGAGCCAAAACTGTTTGACGAGATGTGAAGTTGAGATTTGTTGTCTGTGGGGACAAACTTCATCTCGTCCATTCATATAAGAGGATTTGGTGCAGTTCAGCACATATTTGTTTAGTCTGAAGATTATAACAGAGATGATAGCTACAAAAATTAACATTATACAACTTCAAAGTGTAAAATGAGCTGCATTTTTAAACATTCACTGCATCAATCTCAAATATTTATTTCAAGTTAGGGCAACAGAAGTTTATAGAAGAATATCTAAACCAGCAAGTATCATTGTGTTTCTTGAAAGGAGTGAATTTTGTAATCCCAAAACCTCTAAACAGAAACTTAACAGGAGAATGTTTGTTTTTCTTTTATATTATGGATTTTAATTTAAATTTACCTTTGCCAAAGGGACAGTTCATATCAAAATGCTAGAGATTGCTTTGTTTGAGGAGTTTGGTGACAATTTGTGTTGTATCAAAAGTTTCTCTTGGTTTGGATCTCGGGTGCATTTTTGGGCAGTGTTTTCTGAATGTACAAATGATTCCCATAGTGGGAAAACATAACTGGTTAGACTGGAAATTCTAACCGCACTCGAGGAATTGATGTGAAAATATTTTTACCCCGTTTTAGAACTTTGAATTTTTTCCCACCTCTTGCTCCTTGCACTTGCTATGAGACAAATGGACAGAAAAATAAAAACAATTTGATGTGAAAAATTAGAGGTGACATTTACGCAACTCCACTAACAGAGTTCTCAGTAATTTTTTTTGGACAGCTTTAAGAATATTTTTTGCAAAGACCTCTCAGTGACAAGTTTTCTTGCACATGTTTATGACGTTGTCAGGCTTTACCTGCAAAAACAGCTGGATGGATGGATGTATGGGCAAATGAGTGCATATATGAACTTATTGATGCAAATACACATTTATTATTATCCACACCTACAGAATGCTTCAACGAAATCTCTAAACTGCATAATTTCTGACAGCATTCTCACATCCTGCTGTCTTATTCAGACCCCTGCCTCCGAATCGGACCGCCAACCTCCTACTTAGCAAAAGGGCAAACAGCCCCAGGAGGATCATCCAGCTCATGATGACAGAGAGGAGCTTGTGATGTTCAACGCGCCTCTGTCACCGTGTTCCTACAGACGCTGATGGGGTACGGTTGCCTAAACATCCCCTGCCGAGGCCATTTCTTCATCATTCTCTCACACACATACGACATAAAGACACACAAAACAGGCACTTTCCATAACAGAGACAAATGCTGATCTATGGATGGAGCTGTATACTAAAATCCCCATTAGCGAAACCACTGGACATCAGCTTCATGATATCTTGTCAGTCAGGTCTAATTCTGCATTCAGTCTTAATGGCTCCTGACAAGTCTCTCACCAGTTGACACGGGACCAGAGGGAATGTGCCACAGTGAGCAAGACCACTCAGCAAATTCACATTTAGCATTTCATTCCTCCTGCTTGGACAAAATGAATTATTCATTACCATTTTGCTCACACAGATTTATACAGACAAAACTCCCTCAAACACCCAAAATGTTAAATGATTTTTACATACCACCCCCACCTCTCATCTGCCCCACTGCAAGGGCAGCTCACAGTTCCTACTGTATCTCTGGAAATCTGACATTCTTTCTCTTTATCCTTGACCCCCTTTCCTCACCCCCATGGTTATCTGAAATAATCCCAGGCTCTCCTTAGATTCTATTCATCAGAGCAGAAAGAAGCTGCCACTGACACTGATATATAAAAAAAATACCATCTGTGCCTCACTCGGTGCAAAAAGGACTGAAAGAAAATAAGACAGAAAATAAAGAGGGGCTTCAAATAAAACTGGCTTCGTTGTGTCCCCACTTGTCCAGCCCCCACCCCACCCACCCCATCCCTCAGCTATTCTTGCCTTCCCGCCCTCCTCAATGCCATTTCAATTGAGAAGCGCAGTGGTAATTAAATTCCAGCAGGGGTTAAGAGCAACTGTGCAGTACGCTGACAGGGGGGCTGCCCTGACATAAAGATGACACAATTCAAGAGGACAGAGAGGGCAGACACAGAGAAAGGGTGGGTGAGTGTGAGGGGGTATTGAGGGGGGGGAGATTGCGGGTGGGGTGACGAATGTCATTTATTCACATACACAGGCAGATTTGGACTTCTCAATCTTCATGACATTTGAAAGAACAAAAAAACGAAATGGATATTCACTCCCACAGTGACCTTTTCCCCAAATCGGGGAGTATTCCAGACAGATCCGTCAGCTGCGTCTACGCTATTTGCAGCATATTTTGCAATGCTTAACAGGATGAGCAATAAAGTGGCGGAGAATTTGGAAAAGCTGTTGTGTGTCTGTGTAACTCGGAGGGATGCTGTTTGTTGTTTATTCACAGTACAGTGATGCTAATCCAGATCCTCCAGAGAGGCTGCACATGCCTGCTGTCCTCCTTTCTGCAACCTTCATTAGCAAAACAACACAACCTGTTAGTCTTTAACTTGAAAAATAAAACCGCAAGATGATTTAGAGGTTGAAGATTTTCACTTTAAACGTCACTTTAGACATCAATTTGTCGTTTTGTTTTTTTTTTTATATATTTAATATGGCATGCATCAATTTCCAGAACAAGTTATTCATTTGGATTTACAAACCTTTTTTTTGAAAGTGATGTTTCCTGGAAAATAAAATCACTCACACAGCTTTATTACATTCACTAAAGCAGTTTTTAACCCTGTTAAAATAATAGAATTGAGGATTTAATGTTATTAAACTAATCCATTAAAGTATTACTTTTTACCTCCTTCATTAAAACAATATGTGCAACTCTGCTGCCATCTAGTGTACAGATACGTCATTGCATATAATTTTGCTCCAATGTGCAAAAAGGCCCAGTTGATTAGTCAAATACACACACAAAAAAAAGTTCAGTCAAGAAAATGAAATGGAAACTTTTTTTTTCCTTTTGCTTTCATTCTTTCAGTTCTCATTATTAGTTAAGTATATCAAAGGTTTTGAGACATCAACAAAAAATCCTACAATGTAGGAATCAGTCTATGTTTCGCCAGCAGTAGGTCTCAGTACTGGTTTAAAACCTCCATAATTTCCTCTTTAACAGAGGAAGGGAAGTGCTGCTGCACACCTGGTCCACCAATACTTGTTTCCCAGCAGTCATAGCCACAGTCCCTCAGGTCCTTCATTGTCCCCTGTACAGTCATTGAATCAGTTTCTGCAAATAAAAACAATAATTTCAATAAACAAGAAAAGTGAGACTGAGATGGTTCCATGAAAGCTTCAAATGTTTCTTAGAGACAGTTAATGAATAAACAGCATCATTAAGACGAAAGAGGACAGCAGACAAATCAGAGAAAGTTGTGGAGACATTTAAAATATGGATTTGCTTGTAAAACAATATCTTAAGTTTTAAACATCTTGCGTAGCAACTCTCGATCCAACATCCAAAGATGTAAAGAGTTTGGGCAAGAACAAGGTTGGGTTATAAAACAATGTCCTGAGTGTCAAATATTTCACAGACCTGTTCAAATAAAAATCCAGAAGAGTGTGGCACAAAGGGAATATAATCAAATTGAATACAGTTGAATAAATAATCACAAAAGGAGCTCATAACCTGAAAACTATCAATTTGATCAGTTCTAGTGGTTTTAACATCATTGATCTGATTTGGAATATTTTTTAAGTCACATTTTAAAATTATTTAATTCTTACAAAGTGTGTAGAATGCTAATTTATACTGAACACAAATGAAGCCAAAATAGAAAAGCTTGTAACAAACTCAAAAACCCTTGATAGTTGTAAAATATCTTGCATCCTTTTTATTTCTATACTCAGTCTATGTTCAGGGTGCAGGCATAGCTCCTACTGACAGAGTTAAAATAACTTCTAAAAACTTTATTATAATTAGCTTCAGAGGAGACAGATTTAAAAGTCTTTAGAATAGCTGCAATTCAAAAACAAAACCATCAGAAGAAAAAGTATTTGGAAATCTATTTAGGAGATTGAGAACCTATTAAAATTCAGTAAGCTGCAGACATAAACTGACTTCTGATCGGTTCAGTGCATGAGCACACGTATCTACATGTGCAGTCTATGATTCCTCTCATCAGGCATTGTCCTTATAATCCCTAGATTAAAAGGTAGTGAGTGTCTGAACACTTAATGTCACAGAGAGACATGAAATGTCTCTCTAAAAACCGTTAGATTAAAGTGAATTTATTAGACAAGTGTTTGTAAAACAAAATGGGCAGAATGGGTTCCTATGTATGAGGCAGAAAACCACTCAATGTGATTGGCAAAGCTTTCCTTAGAAACATAGAATATGGAGATAAAATGTTATTTTCTGGCTGTTTTGAAAAGACAGATTGATTCATTCCATTGTTTGCACTGGAGTGAATCAATAAAAATTTGAGCTCCTCTTGCATCCAAAGACACAAGGAATGTTTAGTTGGACAATGAAAGGAATTCAATTAAATAAATAAAAGGAAATTCAGAAAAAAAAGAATGCAACTTTTAAGATTACAAGCATATCTTAAAATCTACAAAGGACAATATCAAGAGGCATGCCAAGAATGTTCTGCCACAGCCCCCCTCCATTACCTTGAAAATGTTTTTTTCTCTGATCTTCTGATGATCAGTGAAGGTAAAAAGGCCAAAAGAAATATCAAAGGATTAAAAGCAACAAATAAAACACTTTTTTCTTCTGTATTATTTTGAAATCCCTGGGAAGGTTTCCGGTCTGTTAAGTCTCCAGGCTGCTGTTTCTAAATCAACATTTCTTCTGACTTTTCTTATTGGGATAAAAATATTCAGTTTATGAACTCAAATTCAAGCTGTAGACTTGGCTAACCCAAGTTTCGTCATGTGACTGTTGATTCGACATAGTAATGTTATCATTCTTTAGTTATTTTCGGTTTTGTTATTGGCTGCCTTTTTTCTTTCACCTATATTTTTATTATTTAAATATTCCCCATTTTCAGACACAGAAATTAATTAAACTGCAAGTACAAACACAACTGAAAAGGATAAGTAGTAAAATTCATGATATTTCCTAGTTAAAATGAATACAAATGTGGCAAGGTATTATAGTTAACCATTTAAACTGTGCACAGTTACAACAGCAAATAAAGAACCATTATTTTTGCAGCACCTGGTCTCAGGAGTGTGATGCCACAGCCTCCTCCACCTGCTCCTGTAAGCTTGCTGTGAAGCCCTCTAGCCGCTGTAACCTGACACAACGTGTCTAAAGAAGGATGTCCTACACCAATCACATTCAGATGATGTTGGTTGATGTCAATAAGCTCCTGTAAAAATGCAGGTCATGAGAGATAAACAACAGAATGCATATTTTCACTGTGGTTCCAGTGTTTTCACCTTTTGTTTTATTCATCAAATAAAATTTAATTGTACTTCTACGGTACATTCTGACTGCACATTTTCAGTATCTATATTTCATTTAAATTACAAAAAAACCTGTACCTCTAAGATGTTATAGTGGTCTCCTGTGATGGGCTCACATGTCATCTCTGTGAGGACTTTCTCACAGGTGCAGGAAATGGCGTCGACCGAATCCAGCACAGGGATCATGATGGAAGGAAACTGCAGAGGTCGAAACAAAAACAGATTAACATCTCCCGTATATCAGAGTTTGTGTAAAAGTAATATTTTTATGCGTTCAAATTTAGAACTTCAATGGACATACTGCACATAGGCAGCACATTTGGCAGGCCTGACTCTGACTGTGTCCAATATTGGCACAACACCATACAAGCCCAATCTCTGTCCAGGGTGGAAAGCTGCACACCTGCTGGTGTCGCCAAGGCAACGGCACACAGGGGTGCTGGCTAAGAGTTTAATTTTAATGTTTTATGGAGGCACTCAACCCCATGCCCTGGAGGATCAGCCACGAAAAAGCACCGCCTGTTATATTAATTATAGTGTCGGCAAGTAACACACGGGGGAGGGAAAACCATTTAGTACCTTGTTAATTTTGTCCTTCACCCTGGCAACAAGTACCTTGGTGCTCCGTGGTACTTTGGTGTTAGTGAGGAGGATTCTCAACAACGGCACCCTGGCAGCAACAAAGATTAGAGAGTTCAGTCACCTGATGATCAGAGGATGAGTTTCCAGAGGAAGCTTGATTTTTATTACTAAAAATCTTCCGATCTTTCTAAAATCAGCTTATTAATCAAAACATTCATAAGTAATCCAACATTACCTGCTCAGTGGTATTATCTTTCCAGCTAAAAACCTCAGCATACCACCTACATGTAAAAAAAAAAAAACATTTTAAAGGTGATTTTAAATGGTGATATTGTAAACTGTTGATAAAATAATATTTTATTAAAGAGTGTGAATAACTTCATGCGCCATATGTTATGTTAAACACCTTTCTATCTCACCCCATGTTCCTACAGCATTGTCTACTCCTGAGGGATTTCCGTGGATGATCTTCTCTCCTTGGAAAGCCCAACTGTTGATGAGCTCTAGGTCCTCCTGACACCATCTGCAGTCAGTTTACAACAACACAGGCTGCTGCTAATTGAGCAATCACAACGACAGGTAAACAGTTGTGTGTTTAATTGAATAATTATAGAGGCACTCGCACATGTTTTAGACAATCAGACTACAGTTAATTTCAGGTTGAAACTGCAGTTTGAAACTTTTATCATTATGGCATGACAGTGTATGAGACAAATAATGTGCAAAAATTTTTTTTAAAAATTAAGCCAACAATACAAAACTTAGACAGTAATCATGATATTTTCTATCAAATTGCATCAAGCTATTCAGTACGGTCATTTCTAAGTTTTTAGAGAAAACCTCAGAGACTAATTGTTCTGTTGATGAAAACTACTGTTGAAGTCAAAATCCCAGCTCATACAAGGAAACCTTGTTTGTACCTGCCAGTCTGCTCCCACTCTTTGAGGGGAGTGGGAATGTTTCCAGTTGCACAGAGGAAAGCTGCAGCTAAACACACGGAATAAGCAGCGCTTGAGCCCAATCCTGCTCCGGTCGGCAGCTCTGACCACACAGACACCGTCAGACTGGGCATATCTCTGAAAACATAATCATAAAACAATGAGTTGGTGTTTAATTAAACTACATACAAATATAGCTAAAACAAATAGCAACTGGTTGTTATTATTATTTTTTTTTTGTAATTTACTAGTACATCACACAAAAATTCAGCTGCAGCAGTGATTTTATTTTTATTATACACCAATAATGCAGTCTCACATAGACTACTTTATACAGCAGAAACAAACTTGACACTTCTGTCTATGTCATTTCAGAGTGGTGGCTTTCGGACAGACAGAAAAATACTCTAAACTAATTGTCCAGTTCTGCTCTCGAGGGGAAAACCCATCCAGACTTGTTAAAGGCCGCAGAGTGGCCTAGTGCCTGACTCTCATTAGTGGCCATCCTGTCAGAAATCCTTCACCTCGCTCTGACACAGCAGCACTGTGTCAGCACCGATTAAACCCTCCAACAACCTGCAGCTCTAATGTTCCTGAGAATCTTCCCAGCTGCTCAAGCCACAGAGTCCACTGATCTGTCTCTCTTTACCGTCTTTATGTCTGATTTAATTCATCCAATCAACCTATCCATGTCAAAGAAATAAAGGATCACATTAAGGTCGGTAAAGAAGAGTGCAATAAACCTCCTAGCATGTACTGATCATTTTCTTATATAGTCATAGCATTTAGCAACATTAGCACAAGATCATATAATTTACAAAGACCCTTACACTCTACCAGGTATCCTGTCACCCCTTCAAATCATTGAGTTCAGGTGTTCCATTAACTCTCATGTATGCAGACGTATAAAGTCTAGCACATAGGCATGCAGAATGTTTCTAGAAGAAAGAATGGGTTGCTCTAAAGAGCTCAGAAGACTGTAGCCTGGTGCTTTAGTAAGATGCCACCTATGCAATAAGTAGAGTCATGAAATTTTCTCTCAATCTAACATTCCACAGTCAACTGATTGTGGTACTATAGCAGGGCAACTCAGCCATGTATATTGATAGAGCGAATCAGTGGGTCATGAAGTGCAGAAACTGCCAACCTTCTGCAAAGTTAGGGCTCCAAAGTTCAGGTGGTATTCAGATTAACCCAAACCTTCATAATAGGGGTGGGTGATATAGACTTAAAATTGTATCGCAACATTTTGTGGTACTACTGTGATATCAATAAAATTGTGATCAAAACTATTTATTAATTCTATTTTAAGTAACTCATAGTTACTATAGTTGATAGTATTGATAGTATTGATGTCAGATTGTACCTCCTTTGTTAGAAAACTCTCCTCTTACTACACATTTTAGTTAAAGTCCTTCACCACTTCCCTAATCATATGGAAAAAAAACACAGGTAGTACAAATATGAAGCAGTGTGAACAGTTCCTGAATAAAATGTTTCTACAATATATTTTGCAAACAGACACAATTGGTAGTTGGCAACATCTTACATTTGCAATAGCAAAAACTTAACATTATCATATGTTTTGCCTGTGGAAAGGTGGCATGAACATCTATCTGTAAGTCATCATTTCTCAGTGACTGGTGCATTTGTTCCCATAGATGACCGTGAAATACAGTAGACCTTTAAAATATGTGAGAAAATTTTGAGAGTTTCAAAAAGTCTTGGTTCTATAAAATGTGGAAATCATATGAAGAACTTTAGAAATATCTCACCCTGAGCCAAAAAGTGACAGGTAGATGTAAAGGAAGGCCAAAATTGCTGAAGCACTACTGTCTGAATTTCCATTGGTCACACCAATAAATTCACGCAGTCTCTTCACCAGTTCAGCATCCAGACGTTGCATCTCTTCTTTTTTATCTGTTTGTAATGTTTTAAAAAACAGAAACAATTTAATATGCAGGTGGGCAAAACAGACACGCGACACTTTCAGCAGTGTATGAATTCTTCAACAAGCTCTCTGGTTAATGTGATGTTTTTGTGACCTCTTTCAATGTCTGTTGAAGAAAATACATCTGTATAGACAATTCTGAGTCACTTGATGTGATCTGAATACATAACTAAGCTAAAATCTAAAAAGTAAAAGTAGTCCACCAATTTGAACGAAATGTGTTGGTGTGAAAAATCCTACCACTTAAAAATGGTGTCAGCTGTTTCAGTTCGGACAATTCCCAGCAGACAAATGTGTCTATATTAGGCAGGTTAATGCAGACTTTGCCATCAGACCTCGCTTTCAACTTCAAATACGTCCTCAGGTTTAAACTTACAGCAAGAGCCACCTGCAACAACAAACATACAAGTCCAGTCACATTTCACAGTACTACAATACTGCAATGCAAAAATCAGGAGTGTAATTAGAGTATTTTATATCCAACCCAGCCCTGGTGGTGAGGGTTGATTGAAGTCCTCACCAGCTTTCCCACTTGGTATTTCAATTTTTGAGACATTTCTGTCAGTTTTTCCAAAATCAAACAGGAAAAACTCATAATTCAACTGCATTAGGAACAGTTGCATTTTAAATTTCATGTCTGATTTTAATGCCTCATAAAACAACAGAGAAAAACAACATGTTGCAACAGTGTTTTAAAATATCCCAATACGAAATAAAGAGTCACTAGTATGATGTACATCAAACCTTTTCTATGCAATGTAATATTGCTAATAAAAACTGCATGGAAGTAAAAGCTTTCAAAATGTTAAGCTCAGCTGACAGAATCCTTGTTTGGTTTTGAATGTGTGTTAGTATCATACCTTTCCGTGAACAACAGCATGCTCCCCGTGGAGGATCGCCTTTCCAGGAGCAGAAATCAGACAGTCTCTCACCTCCATCTTTCTGGCAGCTTCCTCAGCCTGAAATCTTCTCAAGTTCAACTTTTCACTTACAGTGTTACCACAGACAGGCTTAGCTGACGTTAATCCGCTGAGATAGCGCAAACAAGGCAAATGTTCAAACCTACAAATATGTGGTTTGATTTCGTGAATAACAGAATAAAGTTTGAAGGATTTAGCGATGCATTTTTGTAAGTAGGAAACAGTAACACTGACAGTTGTCAATGCAGCTAAAAACACAGTTTACACATAGCTACATGCTTTATGTGGACCACTTTACGCTTCGCCTCAGGATCCAATCACCGCTTCAGTCGCCTCAACACGTTTCCTTCCGACCAATCAGTGTCCGTAAATCTGCCTACGACAGGATGAGTTGACCAATCGTGCGATAAAAACGAAACGCCTACAAACTACGGACGCGGCTGAGGGACAAAATTCTTCGTTACAAAACAACGTTCGGCTGAAGCTGCTACCTTGTAGCTCGTTATGACATCGGTTATTACCAGAAATGCTCTCCTGCGCTGTTTTATGCGGACAAGGAGGCTGATAAGCGAACATCGGACACCTAAATCACTGTGTTCTGACAGAAGGTATTTCTTAGCACTGCTTGGGAGCTCACATATTTACAGTGTTGTTTCTTCTGACTCCTGCCACTTATACCAGCAAAACAAATGGCTCGTAAAACTGGATTCTGTGTTATTATTGCATTCATATGATTTTCTTCTTGCTCTTGCACAATATAATCTTCATTATGTTCCTTTCCCCTACAGTTGTGCTACTGGAGAAGTCAAGTCACCTAAAATTTACACCAAAACTGGAGATAAAGGTTAGTCAACCCAATTAAAGAAGACATCTTAATGCTTTGGGTTTCAACTATATTTGAAGACATTTGTGTGGTTTCCTTTATGTACATTTATGTTTTAAAGCCACATGACCTATATATGTATTTGTGTCTTATAGGCAAAATAAAAGCATTTAAATGTTGTGGCCCAGACTCCCCTTTCAGTTCTATATTCATGTTTGCATTATACATTGTTAGAAATCAGGGAGTGAGAGCTCAGATATTCAGATCTCAACTATACTTCGATTAAAGAATGTCAACACAATTTGAAAACAACACATGCTTTCTATTATGTTTATAATGACTACTATTTTGTGTTGGTCTACCAAAAAAATCTAAAAATCCCAAACATTTATGGTCATTCTTTTAAGGTAGTAAAACAACTGACTAGATTCCTGATTTGCAGGTTTCTCCAGCACATTCACTGGAGAAAGGAGGCCAAAGGAAGATCATATTTTCGAAGCTTTGGGAAATACAGATGAGTTGTCATCAGCTATAGGGTAAATTATGTATTATTACACTATTAAATCATTGTATGCACTTGGATATTTAAAGCACTTTTGTCAGACAGTAGAAAAACCGTATAAAATTATGTTTTCAGAAAAGAAAAATAACCCTGCATGCAATGCATCTTAATGAACTGTTTTGGAGCTCAATAAAAATGCAAATTCCTAAATAGAAAACAAATGAAACTTTAAGGGAAATAATGTTCCATGAAAATGTTTCTGACAGGGTCTGCATGTTTAAATTAAACATGCAGACAAAGAAGTATTAACTAAAACTATGTTGCTGCAACTTACAGGAGGAATGCAAAAGTCCTTAATGACACAAAGAAATCTCAGTTTCAGTGAACTTTGTTTTTAGTGGAGTTGGTAACATGCTGTGATTTCTGAAAAATTTCAAATATCAGATGTCCTTTTGCAGAGCTGTTGACAAGAACAAAAAAATGCTAAATTAAAATCTAAATCAGTGCATTTGTCAAAAATATTTAAGTTTGTCTGACTCACTTTTCTATCTAACTTTACAGTTTGGCCCGAGAGTTTTGTCTTGACAAAGGTCACACATTCACAGATCAGCTGGATAAGGTTTGATTTTTTTCATGCCAAATTTATTTAATGTGCTGAAACTGTTTTGCACTCCGCTCTTCTGATAGACCGAAGGCAGAGCACAGGTTGGTTTCAGCACAAAAAGTTCATTAGATTTAAAGAACAAGCAATCAACATGCATTAAAGATATGATTTTATTGCAGATCCAGTGTATTTTACAAGATGTGGGCTCCAATATTGCTACTCCTCGATCATCTGCAAGAGAAATCCATAAAAGTATGCAAATGCAGACTGGTGTGATCTCGTTATTTTTTATCACTGATGTAAATTTTTTGGGGTTTTTTGTTTTACCAGAGAGAACAAAGTTCAGTCCTCAGCCAATCACTGACCTGGAAACATGGATTGATCATTTTACAGAGGAACTCCCACCGCTGACCAACTTCATTTTACCTGTAAGGATCTTTTTGCTTCTGTAGATACTGAATGATCCTATGAACGATTAGATTATTCATATTTATATTTTACAGTCTGGAGGGAAAAGCAGCGCAGCTTTGCACTTAGCTCGGACAGTCTGTCGGAGAGCGGAGCGCAGGTCAGTTTCACCACACAGTTGTGATAAAAAAATAATCAGTTAAATTATTATTTTTGAACTGATTAAAATAATTATTGAACTGATGTCTAGGAAACCGCCAAACCATGACATGCACGCTGCTGAGTCTATGTAAATGTTTGTTTTACTGTGGTCTCAGGCCCATCTATTCCTACCTTAAATCATGGATCATTTTGAATGCATCATAATTACGGGAGATGTCATGTTAAAACAAAGAAAATCCTTTTGAAATGGTTACTTTTAACAAAATAATAACCTCAAATCTACCAGTAAGAGAGCAGCATCTTAGTTCCAGGCCAGCAAGATTGCTAAGGGGTTACCAACCCATTCCTCATTTCTTAAAATCAATGGTTATGCAATTCATTAATTAAGAGGACACTTACATTTTCAAACTTTCAGTTTATTCAGCAAATGTGAGAAAAAAAACTGATGGTGTATTTTTTAATAGGATAATGGAAATTGTTCCTCACCCTCTGTGTCGTGTTTGATAAATCTTTATTTTAGACTAGTGTTCCTAATGCATCCACTTGTGTATTTTGCATTTTACAAGCTGTCTAAACCCAACTGTTTGCGGTTTAAGTGTTGTTTGCAGTCAAGGTCCTCGAGGACCTATGTCCTGCATATTTCAGATGCTTTTCTGCTCCAGCACAGCTAATTTAAATGGCTGAAGTGATTCCTCAGCAGGTCGCTAAGCTCTGTAGGAGCGTTCTAATAACCTATTTAATTAATTCAGGTGTGCTGAACCAGGCTAACATCTAAAACATGCAGGACACAAAGATTTAGATGATATGTTATTCTTGTTTCACTGCTGATGTGTTTTTGACAGCTCAGTGTTTTTCTGCACAGTGTTGCTCCAATTGTGCGTTCAGGGGAGGCAGATCCAGATGTTGCAAAATTTCTCAACAGGTCAGCATCATCTGCTTTAAAAACACATAGCTGTCTTTCCAATTAAACATCTAATAAAAGTACAAACATTTTATTTGGACTCAGGTTGAGCGACTACCTGTTCACAGTTGCCAGATACGCAGCCATGAAGGAAGCCAGAGAGGAGAAGATCTACAGGAGACCTGAATAAACTCACCTATTTATTCGAATCTGCGTTTGTTTCTACAGTAATAGATGCAGATACTACAGTTCTGTTATTAGTTCAGTGCATTCTTTCTTAAATATCACACAAAAGACAAAATAAACCAGCTAAGCAGTACATGTACATCAAACATTAGAATTTTACACAATAACCTCAGCAATTCATCAAATAAACATAAAATACTTTAAATTAACCATTTGATTCCACGTTGTCTATATTCTCAGTCTCATTAGAATTAGTTTTGATATTTCCCATTATAGTTTCTCCTCTTGCAGGTTAATAAGAGTATTTGTGACAGTCACATGATCTGGCACCAGCCCTGGCTCTTCTGTGACAGCGTACAAGCCCATGTCATGAGAGACAGATTGCGGTCTTCATAGGGTGGGTAGCGCAGATACGTGACGAATTCAAATCGCGTCCCTCTAAGCAAGCACGCTTTTCTGTGCGAGAATGTATCGAAGCTGTAGTGACCATGGAAGGACCCCATTCCACACGCACCTTAAAAAAATGTTTCAATGAATAGTTAAGACACTATTCCTTTTTCTTTTTGTCATTGTATGTGACATGACACACTCACCCACTCCACCAAATGGCAAAGACACCATCAGGCTCTGAAAGATGCAGTCATTAGAGCAGAAGCTTCCACTGGAGGTCTCACTCATGAGTCTGGAAATGACCTGCGGTAAAAAGAAGGTCAATACATGATCACAACTTACTCTGAGAAACTGAAGAAATAGTTAGCCTAGTTAATGTCAGGACTTTCCACATGTTTATCACCAGCCTGTTTAATTAATTACAAAACTTGTTTTAATCATCATCGTCCTGTTGGAATTGCCTAGCAATATTTAAGAATCACTGCTGAAACACGGATGTCACTAAAGAGAAGTGTATTTCACATCAGCATCAAGTAGGCAGGAAAACAATCTTCCTCCAAAGTGACAAACTTCAATCCTAATTGAAAATTGACTTGCCAGTATGGCCGAGCAGAATGCCACCCGGAGAAATATTTTACGGTTAGATATGGCAGAGTTTTACTCATCTCAGTTACCAGAAGTATGTCTGAATTAGTCAGTGAGAGGCTTTCAGATCTCTGTAACTCAAATTGTAGGGCTGTTTTGCCGCCAGTGTGTCATAAGAATAGAAGACGACCTTACAGTTCATCGAAATTATATTTCTGTAAGACACTTATTTCAAACATCAAAACCAGACTTGGAAATAATAAATCAGGAATAAAGAAAAAGAAAAAAACTATTAGAAGGGGTGTACATACATATGCCTTCATGTATAATCATGAATCTGTGTGGATCAGAGAAAATCCACATCAAAACATTTTCTTTAAATTGACCTATGAAAGTCATTTGTTGCATAATAATTTAATGCTGAAAAAAGGCCTGAAGTAAAGATAAAATGTGTAGTGCATGATAGCTGTATGTAAACTTTTGACCAACACTGCATCTCCACTTGTTATGACGTACCTTATTGTTAGTGGAATATGCATACACACAGAGGGACTTCTCTTGCTTATTAATAAAAGCAATGGCTTCATCCACGTCATTTACAGTGAGTATTGGGAGAACCGGGCCGAAGACCTCCTGTTGCATGATGGGGTCTGATTCTGCCACTTCTACTAGAACTGTTGGGGCTTCAAATACAGGCACAGAGCCTCATCACATTGTGCATGTATACATAGGAGTTGTTTTATAAAAAGTCAAGGATGTAGCTTCCTACCAATATACTTCTCTCCCTCCGTCACCTGCCCACCAACAACCACCTTCCCAGATCTCCACAACAGCTCTCGTGTACGGTTGAAGATCTCCAGGTTGACCATGCGACCAAAGCTGCGGGATTCTCTTGGGTCGGGGCCGTAGAACTGCATCAGGCAACATTTCAGGGCCTGCACCAGCCGCGCCTTGACATCTGTGTGGCAGAGGATGTAGCTGGGGGCCAAGATGCTCTGACCCGCGTTGTGAAAACGCGCCCATGCAATACGCTGCACGGTGGTGGTGATGTCACAGTGCTGGTCCACGTAGCACGGATTCTTTCCTCCCAGGATCAGGGTGACGGGAGTGAGAGTGCGGGCTGCAGTCACAGCAATCTTGCTTCCATCCTCTCTGTTTCCTGAAGAGTGATGTTAAAAATGCTTTGAATCATCAAACACATTCAAATGTGTGTTAAATGGGTGAGGATGTGATTACCTGTAAAAAATACGTGGTCAAATTTAAGCTCCACAATCTCAGGCAAGTCACTGATGCCTGCAAGAATCACATGGAAGCATTCCTTGAGGAAAACAAAAATTTTGTATAAGCATTTCGTGCAAATGTCATCCTTTCTGAAGGTTAAGCAAGTTAATAATAATAATTTATTTTTAAAGTATTGTTTAGAATGCCCAAAACAACATGGAGTTTTTATACATCATATTACGTCATGCATCTTTGACAATGGTTATATTTTATACAAGACAACAGAAATTGAGGTAAATTTTGTTCCACTGACTTATTTTCTTAATACCTGACTAAATAAAATTATGTGCTCTTAATTTAACAATAGTGGAGAAAAGATAACCCATTCCGATGAAGACACAGATCATGTCAAAACATTTGTCTCCATGAAGTTTGGACAGTAAAAATAAAAATTGATGAGTAAGTATGATGTCCTTTAGCTGTGCTGCACCTCATTTAGACATCGTTTGTTGGGAGACGATTACCTTATCATTATGGCTTATTATTTTTACTCAAGTTTTATATAAATTAAACTTATATGAAAAAAAATATGTCCTCTCCTTCACCTTAAGAAAGAATGTTACATTTATTGTGGACCTTTAATGATGCATTTTAAATGTATTTGTTTAGTTTTTGCCAAACCTCAACAGAATTACATGCACAAGTTTAAATTTGTGGATGGAAAATCATCAGCACTGTATGTCCAGTTTATGTATATGAAAAAAATCAATTTGCTTTTGAGTAAATTTTACACAAAAATATCTTCGCACATCATATTAAAACAATGCAGTTTTTAAAAAGAATAAAAAAGCAGTGACTTTTTGTCAACTGATCCTCTATCAAATATCCCACCAGTTTTCATAACAACAGTGTCTTTAAATTGTATCTCTCTCTTTAGTTATCTTCTAGTGCCTCAGATTTTCCAGAATTTTGAAAGCTCAAAAAAGTAAAGCAGTGAAATGCCACCTTGGAAACTCCAGTAATAATTCAAGTCGTTAAATCATAAATAAATTAATAGAGTGGCTTATCGCGTACTTAACACTTAAATTCAATTTGGCACAGGGATTACAGCTCAGAAGGTTCTTCAATCTCAGCACCTTTTTGGCAAGGTGAAGTCACATTGTGTAACTTGCTGAAAGACCTTTGGAGCAGTCGGCCCACTCTGCTCGCTTACTTACATTATCCAAGTAGAAAGGAATAAGACGATGCAGAAGCTCTGCTGTGTGCAAGGTGTACTCAGAGGGGCTGATGAGGGCACAGTTTCCTACATGATTGAGATTCCTATGTAAATGTCAGATTCTTTGTGGGACTGTGAGGTTACAGGACAGTGCCGCTGCTCACCAGCTGCAATGGCTCCAACCAGAGGCACCAAGCACATCTGGACTGGACTGCACCAGGTCCCTATGATGAACACCACACCCAGGGGCTCATTGATCACCAAACACTCGTCCAAGCTGGTGGACTGCACAAACAACTTCAAAGTTAGGCTACAGGGGAAGCAAACAAGCAGAGGAGAGAAAAAAAAGGAAAGATTCGACCCCCATTGAATACTTAAAAGGTCGGTGCAACTTAGCTTTAATCTGCTTTAGTGGACTCTGTACAATGGATTTCTTTGTGGCAGTCAGACTGGAATGCTTTCAGGTTGTGTAAGATTTGAATAATCCCAGTCGTTTTGCCACGAAGATGTTTTGGAGAAATGAGTTTCTCACCAGATTCTTTTCCACAGACTTAGGTTCCATCCATTTCTTCAGGTTGCTGATTGCATGAAGTGCCTCATTCTTGACCGTGATCAGTTCAAACACGACAGTTTCGAACCGTGGCTTGTGGAAATTAAAAGAAAATGCAATATTTGCAGGTAAATCTCAAATTAAAATATGAATGACCTAGTTGATTTCAGTGATTCGGTTTAAAAGATCTCCATAGACTGCAGTTATTTCTAAGCAAACACACACACAAACACACAACTGTTCAACTCCCTGTGAGCAGTCAGCTTCTTTAGCAATGCGCTTAACTGTTAAGTCAGGAGTGGTTAAATATAAAATGCAATTACAATTTTATTGAAAGGTTTAATGAAATACAATTCAATATATAGCAATAGTTTCTTTTGGCCACTATCAGAAAATTTCAGATACAAAGTAGCCATATTGGATTTGGTGAGAAAGTTCTGACTTTCCTATTGAGTCTCAAATCCTTGGGACACTTTATTTTTCAAACTTGAGAAAAATCAATTCCTAAGTAAAAACAGACTATGATAACTACATTATTTAGTCAATCAAGTATTACCTATGGATAAGAAAACATTTTCTTTTTCTCTAGTTCTGTCTGAAAGCACATTGTTATTGTTAACCAACAAATAGTTCTTATTAAAGTTTTATGCCTTAAAATACCATTTTCTATATTTAAAAATTTGCTTTGTAAATGGATTTATTTTTATTTTTATTGAAACTAAAACTTGGGATGTTCATTACCTGTAAATCCTAATAATCAAATTTAACTGCATATGTTTTTTTAATTGGTGAAATGAATAACCCATTCAGTGTCATTCTAATTTGTAGTTAAGGAGTAGTAAACCAGTACCTTATGAAGATCCCTTCCAAGAGCATCCACAAAGTCACATTCATGCTCTTCCAGCATCCGCACCACAGCCTCCAGCTGGGCCAGTCTGAAACCTTCCTTCAGGGTCCGTCCAGCCTGAAAGGCGATTCTTGCCCTTCTCAGCAGATCCACACACTCCAGAGGGTATGTCCTCAAACAGGGTTCTCCCAGCCTCGTCCTGGAAAAACAAACTGTTGTCAGCACTAACATTCCCAGGAATACTTCAAATCCACGTCATGTTATACCTTCTGCATGTTAAACGACCATTCCTCTGACAAACCTAGCACGCCCTGATTTTTCCACTCATTTTCACTCGAGTTAAGGAAATTAGCAGTGCTGGTGCCAATTTGAAGTTAAGCCTGGGCACCCCCTCAGGAAAAGTCCCCACAGGCAGGGAGGATAGTAGGAAATCCTAACAACTCTAGCCAATCAGGTGATGCACATAACATGAACAGTGCTGCTGACTAACATCGAGCTACAGATCATGTCCAACTTTCTTTCCATTTCCAGAAAATAACAATGAAAACAAATAATAAACGCAAAATCAAACATCTTTACCTGCGGAGGGCTTTGAACCATCGGGTTGGGGATGGACTAGGTGGGCTGCTCATTATTTTACAGGTTCACAGTGAGACAGAAATGTAGTAGATGGGTGGAAAATCTTCACAGGGAGCCTCTGTGGTGTGCAATGACCAAGCCACTGAGCTTAGGGGAGAAGGTTTGACTCATGCGTGCGCATTCACACCATAATCCTCCATGTGTGGCATTTAGAAAAACCAGAAAAGGAGAACAAGGACACAACCTTCTGCCTACCAGCCTGTCAGCCACCCAGGGTGGGCCTTAGTGGCTCAGACAGGTGTTTTTAATCAATAGCTTATTTAAGCTGAAGACAAGAAAATCACTAACAGCATGTGCAGGATTTAAATGGTTTATATAATACTTGATTCAACAATACAGGATTAAAAAAGTATTTTACATGTAGACAAGTCTGTCAAAACAACAAATAAAAACACTCAACACTATTGTGCAGCCAGCTTTAAAGACATGAAGATTATACATTTTGAGAGGAGGGGTGGGAAGGATTTTAGCTCGCTTTTTGTTATTTCTCAGCCTAAAAGAGTGAATGGCTGCTCAAAGCCAACATTAGCGGTCCTCTGAAACACTTTTAATCAATCCTTCTCTTGACATCATTTAGAAAAACACACAAGGGGAGCTCCAGAAGAGACAAACAAGCATGTGAGGCGTCATTCATCACATCCTCACTGTAGTGTATCAATTAATTAGGAGTGTTTCCAGTTCTTATAAAGACTAAAAAAGGCTTTGAAACGATGTTTGATCCTCCATTAGTTTTGCTGTTTAATTTTTAAAAAATCTCGTTAGTAGAAAGGATACAAGTTTGTTATTGTGCCAGAGAGAAGTTTACTCACTCATTATAGGCATAAATACCATATTCACTTGGGGTTTTAACAAGATTTATCTGAACTGTTGTTGTTGGTTTTTTTTTTTTGTTTTTTTCAGAATTTTTTTTAACTTTTTTTCTTATTCACACATTGTTAAAAAAAGACATACATTCCACTGACATTTGGTGAAACATTTTCTCTGCACGTCACAGAGAAAAATAAAAGTGAAGGAAAGACTTTCAAATCTGCAACTCTGCAACAGCACCCAGACATGGTGGTGGCAGCATCATGATCGGGGCTCGTTTCTGTAGGTGCATTGCATCAAGCAGATAAATAATGAAGGAAGACTACTAAATTATTCACTTAATCTCAAATCAAAGTCTAGATGTTCAAAACTTGGCCACAAGAGTGTGTTCCAACAGGACATTCATCCCAAATATAGATGGGGGTGGACCAGGGAGCTGGGGAACCTCCAGGAAAACAGGGTCAGATAGTTTAAATTGAATAGTTTTTACTCTTGTGCGTAATTCAACACTGATATTAATCTCCTAGAATGGCAATCTTACTGCAAGTTTGTAGGGTATGACCTCAATCAGACACTAAGTCAGGAAATCAACCGGTTTAAATGTTTTCTAGCCTTCCTGCTAACAAGAGTATTCAAATATCTCTCAGAATTATGCCAGATGCTAACTGATGGCTACAAAAAGAACTTAAAACAAGCTGATGGACTTTTAACTAATTAAGAAGCTGTACCTATGCATGTGATGCAATTTTTATCATTTGTCCTACAACAAAAAGGTAAATTCAGACTTGTGCACTCAATTTTATTAAAAATTATTGTTGTTTGCTGATTAATCCACCGTAAGAAAATGTGTCTTTAAAACCCCAAAATGAATAATATTCATGATTATGAGGGTACATAAACTTTCCACTAGTATTGTACACATTTACTGTTTAAGCACAAGTTAGTGGCCATAGATCAGGAAGTTAGACACTAAATATTTATTCTCATTCATAACAGAAAATGTGTTTTTGCATATTAAAGAACTAGAAGATTTTCAATTGTCCTTCAACTCTTTGAGTGAAGGTTTCTTTTTTCTTATTCCATGATGACAAACAGTCCCTTTGTCACTGCCTAAAGTAAATAAACCCTGTCTCAAGGAATATTCAGGCTATTAAGGTCACATTCAACTTCATGTCCCCACAAAAACAAATGCAACATTTTCAAGGGAACGTCGTCCAATTGAGCAGTTGTATTTGGTTGGTCAGTCTGTGACATCATTTTAAAAGGTCTTCAGACCGCGAGATCTTTTCCGCATGGCTTGAAGAAAAGTCCACAGAGATCAGAAGGATTTACAGTAAAAGCCTCCATAGTTGCTTCAGTTAGATCTCTCTCGTTCAGAGAAGTAGTCCAGGACCATAGCCCCAATATCTATGGCTTTTTTTTCCCAAAACGTGGTAATTGGTAAGAGCTGAACAACAACAGCACATGTGCTAGCATGGGGTAACGGTGAGACATGAGGCACTCAGCATTAGTATAAGGTGGAGTGAACATGGTTTTCTGGTATAAAATACATAGAAGACTAAACCACTTCATGATTTTAAACTCGTGCGATAAAAAGAGATGTAGCACATAGCACAACCTCGTCTACTCCGGCATGAAGGGTAAAAATGTTGACAAATCGTTTCCAGATCATTTTCTGCTCTTAAAGGTAAGTGATGCTACACCGAGGGCATGTTTATATCAAATAACAGCATGATCAGACTTTCTGAATTGAAGAGAGGGTGATGTTTGGCTCTCAGACAACCAGCGAACACAACGGGCTGGATGGGTCAAACGCTGCAACACAAGGGAATTAATGCCAAGTTACAACTTCGAACAATGACTTCTTTTTCTTGGAGATTCATCACAAGACACGGATTTGTCTTACACTCATAAAAACTTTTTTTTGGAGAAGCATTTCTGGATCCAACGGATGAAATCCAAACTTGACAGCATATTAACAATGATTGGTTGTTTGGTTTTACTCATGTAAGTAAGACCTCGTGTCTAATGGCTTGCATTGCATCTGTATTGCTTTCCAGTTGTCTTAAAACGGTGGCCTCTGATCCAAGAATGATTCTGTTAAGCCTGAGAAACTGAGATCAAACCACGGTATTTTTGAGCGTTATCATGTTAAATATATGAAATATTCATTTTTAGGAGTAGACATTAAAACTTTACTGTGTTGTAGGAGCAGCTTCCTCTTTGAAGACAGACCTAAAGTAGATCTCACTCCATCAGCGCTCAACCAGAGATCAGATCTTCCATCATACTCCTCCTTTCTTTAGCTGATGGCTCTAAAATGTCCCAGATAGCTTGAGCATCCCGCTCGGTTCATGTTGTTTATCACATCCATCCTGTGCAGATTGTCCCAGCGCAGAGTTAGGAGAGCTCGAAGCCTGTATTCATACTGATGGCGTAACGCAGTTTGTCACGCAGGATGCTCTTCTTACTGTAGTTGGGCAGCTTGAGAAGGTTGAAACACGTAGAAGAAGTAGGAAGTCGACCCCCAGGCTCCTTCTTTCGAATTGTGAAGAAGCCCCTGAGGACACTGCCGAGGGTGTCTCCTGTGTCCTGGACATGGCAGGTAAAATGTTCACAAACAATTATTTTTGGATTGACCATCACAAGTATTAGATTTGTATATTCTTTCTTCCTTAAAACCATGAAACTATTAGAAAGTATTTCAAAACTTCTCCTTTAATGTGACATATCCTATAAAGTTAATTTGAAAAAAAAAAGAACTTGTTCCAAGAAAAACTGTTAAAAAAAACAAAACAATCGGCAGTAGTCTGGTGCATTATGCTAGTTAAAGCACCTTTTAATTCAAGTACAGCATTTCGTCTTCACATGCTGACAAATTTGGAGAACATTAGGAAAGTAAAATGGGCAAATTGATCAAAATGTGTTGTAATTTAAAGTTTCCATCAAAGTATTAATTTAAATATGTACACTAACACAGCTGCATTATTACTTTCTCCTCTTTTCGCAAAAAGTTTTAAAGTAGTTTTTTTTCATATCCCTTAATCTGTCATGTATACTTTTAATAGAAACAGTAGATAAAATCTAAGAGCAAGTGGGATGAGAAAAAAAAGTGCAAAGATGACGGGTGCAGACAAAAAAGAGCATTTCTATTCCTCCAAACCCCAAATCCCACTCCGAGTTTCTTTCCTAATCTTTAATTTATGCACATTTTTATTGCATGATTCCAAATCTGCAAAGGATATAGCTCAAAATAAGCACATGAAACAAGTAACTTATTTTTCACTCTTACCTGATCATCTGAGACTTCCACACAACGGATGGAGAAAGGTGGTTTGAGGTAAGCAAAGCCTAGCAGAGGTGGTCTTGAACAGCTGGTAACAAACTATAAAAACATATTTGAAAGATAATGAATAGTAAATAACTTTGAATTTGCAGTAAAAACAAGTATTTAACTTTAGGAAACCTACTTTCAGGAACATAGCCCTCTCTTCAGCATTAAAGTCACTGGACAGGATGTCCCAAAGCCAGATGATGACACGGTGGCTGCTATGGAAGCCACCATAGTAGACGGTGTGTTTCCTGTAAGAGGCAAAAACAACAATGAGTATGTTAAACTGGCTCAATAAAAAGAAAAGAAAGCATTAGATAAATGAGTCAAGTAATATTTTGTGGGCAAGAAGAATGGTAAAAAGAAAGGCAAAAGTAAAAATTAAACTTACTTGAGGTCGTCTAAATCAATCTCTGCGTTATCCCCTGAGATCAGCCGCTGAACTTCAGGGGTGGAAAACATATGCAGCCACTCTGGATTAATGATGCTGCGGAAACCCCGTATGAAAGCCGCCGTTTGCTCCTTAATCTGCGTGTGCATCCTGAAGTGAGCCATCAGGTGGATGTAGCTGATCCTGCGGTAGAAAAAAGAGATGAAATCAGGCTGTGACAGTGACTCGACAAAGGACTTTGTTTTAAAAAAGGATCAACGCAGGGTTTTAACTATGGAATCTTAATTTACTTACTTGTTTTCATTGGTGACTGGCATAGTTTTTCCTCCAGGTATCAACTCATGACAGACAAGCTGCAAGGAAACACCAACTTAAACTTCATACATTAGATTAAATACCTTTCTGATACGCCTCCATTTTTATATTTACTTACCTGCCCCATAACGTCTTCATCATAGGACAATGTCAGTCCTAGATCTCCTACATCTCCGTCATAGCGCTAAGAAAAAAAAGATAAGAGT